TAGCAAAGGATTGTTAGGAGTCTTAGGGAAGGAATAGATTGTGTTGGCTGAGTCATCAGTGATTGTCTAAAGAGAAGCTAATGGCTAACTTAAGGTTAGCAGAGAGTAGTTAGCGATTGTTTTAGGAAAAGGTTAATTTAAGACTACCAGAGAGTAGTTAGAGAATGTTTAAGAAAAGGGTAAATTAAGAGGCAGTTACACAGTCATGCATTAAGCAACATCTGTGTGAACAAGGTTAGGAAATTGTCCCTGAGTCCTTATGCCCTGGGAGTCTTATCTGAGGTTTGCCTTTTGTTTCAAAAAACTGAGGAAGCTTCCCAGGAGTCTTTATGCCTGCGGACCTCATCTTTCCTGGGACTAGCCTTTTGTCTCAGGAGACAGAGGAATTTTATGTCCTGGTGTTATAGGGCACCTCAATTCAGAGAGAGGCACCCCTGAAGCCCCAAAACCTGCCTGCTCTAAGTGGGTTCTGCCATCCGCCGCAGCAAGACAAAACATATAAAGCTTTAATGAAAAGTGACTTTAATACAGTGAATATACAATATGGAACACAAAGAATGTAACTTCTGAATCAAACACCTGAAGTTACCCCTCCCCTCGTGGGCAAAAGTCAACCCAAAAGGGATTGGCCCAAAGCAAGGCCTGAAAGCCTGCCACAAGACTAAAGCACCTTCTGGCCGGGACCCATGGAAAAGGGTCAGAAATGGCCAGACAAATCTGAGAGGAAAAGAGCAAAATCAAAATCAATATAAACACTGCCATAGTCACCTCCCTACAGGTATCTCACCCACATCTGCCTTAACCAGTCCAGGGTCAGGAAACAAGCCCGGTTTCTTCATCACATGTTTGCTGCTCCATGTGGCTTCCTTAGGTCTCCTTCTCCATCTGTCTTCTTCTCTCTTCTCTCTCCTTTTTCTCTGCTCAGTTCCACCCTCCTTCTGGGTGGGGCAGGGAACCTGGAACTTCCCTTCTCCTAGGGACCACCCAGTTACACTGGGGTAGTGCCTGCTTGCTTGGGCCAGGCAGCCACCTTATGAGGCTGAGGCTATCCAGTTGTAAACTCATGGTTGCTCAGAATATTTTTGATACTATGACTCTACAAAAAAAGGAGGATGTAACATAAGTTGGCAGTGGAAATTCTGATCTTTCAGAGTTTTTCCCTTCCACCCAGAATCTGTTGGTCTACAGAAGTTGCATAGCTTTTGTCAAAGGATGTACTTCACACTTGCTGGGGGTTGGGGGTTGCCTGCAACTCCAGGAGCCTGAGACTAAGAGCCTCCTTAAATGTTTTGTTTCTTTTAAAAAAAAATGTATTTATGCATACAGAACTGGGGTACAGGCCAGAGGTGTGGAAGGTAAGAGAGGACTCACCAGAGACAGAGTGGGGAGCAGAACAGGCAGATTGCCCAAGTACACTGCTGAGGAGAGCAGCAGGCAGATGAGACAGGAGAGGTCTGCTGCACCATATGGTCAGCTTCCTGGTTGGGGATCTAACTTGTGTTTCAGTGGCTGCCAATAGCTTCATAGTGCTGTGCTTTAACCTGTTGTGCCATCATAGAGAGCCCTCCCCACCTTTTCTTAAACTGAGGTAAAATTCACAGAATTTCATAGAATAACACAGAATTTGCCATTTAAAGTGAATGTTTGAAGTAATACCTGGTATATTGATGTCGTACAGCCCCCACCTCCATCTCATTCCAGAATATCCCATCACCCCCAAAAGAAGGCCCTGTTACCTTGAGCAATCACTTCCCCCCTCCTCATCCATAGAAAACTGCCAGCCTGCTTTCAAAGTCTGTGGGTTTGCCTGTTGTGCATCACACACTATGACCTTTGTGCTTAGTCTCTCACTCAGCATTGTTTCCAGCTTATCCACATTGGAGCGGTGCCAGGACATCATGCCTTTTCATGGCTGCATAATACTCCCCTCTGTCGGAGACCAGCTCCAACCTTTGGGGTGTCTCGAGGCAACACAGGCAGGACCCTAAGATGGGAAGGCGTCGGTGAGCGGATATTCCAAAAAGGGGGAGAGGGGAACGGATGTGAGGAAGACACGGGAGTC